GCTCCGGCTGGAGGCGGCCGTGCACCGCGCTGGACTCGCTGGAGCCGGCGAGCGCCGTGTGCAGCTGCGTGTGCAGCAGAGTGCGCCTCGGTGTGCGCCTTGGAGCTGCGCACGCGGCCGCGCGCGCCTTGGAGCTGCACACGCGGCACTGTGAGCCTTGGAGCTGCACACGCGGCTCTTTCTGTGCGCCTTGGGGCTGCACACGCGGCACTGTGAGCCTTGGAGCTGCACACGCGGCTCTCTCTGTGCGCCTTGGAGCTGCACACGCGGCTCTTTCTGTGCGCCTTGGGGCTGCACACGCGGCTCTCTCTGTGCGCCTTGGAGCTGTGTGCAGCCGCGCGCGCCTTCGGCAGTAGCCCCTGTCAACTTTCTTCGCTCGCAGGCCTTTATTTTTTTTTAGGAAGGAGGAAGGGAGAGAGAGATAGAAAATCAATGGTGAGAATCATCCATCGGCTGCCTCCTGCACGCCCCCTGCTGGGAATGGAACAGTGACCCCCGGGTTCATGGGTCCACGCTCAACCACTGAGCCACACCTGCCCGGCTCTCACAGGCCTTTGGAACAGAGGCCGTGTTAGGAGGTGTGAGGGGGTCGCTCAACCCATGTCTGATAAGGCCCCCTGACCTCATGGGGACACGGAAACCTAGACTAATTTGGAAGGGCTGTGTTTTGCTTTAGGGCCCTTGTGAAGATAGATGGATCGGGATGGTAGCAAATGAACTCTTCCCTTTCCCTTAGGCAAATGCAGACAAACGCATGCTTCTTGTAGCCGCATAAGCAAGTACTTGTCATCTGTGCAAATACGGTTCAGAAAGCGCAGGGCTTCCGCTGGAGGGCTGAAACAGACCTCCCTGTGTGAGGGCTCCTCCTCTGGTGCCACCCCCCTGCAGCAGAGGGGCCTTTCTCCCCCGAGTTTAATGCTGGGTGCTCCCTGCAGTTGACTGAATTGATTGTTTAAATTACTCTCTCCCAGAATGCAGAAGCAAGGATAATCGCAGAAATATAACACACCAAATAAAATAAGAGCATTTAAGTGAGGCACGGGGTACCAGGAGGTTCCTAATTAAATGCATCGGCACTTGATTACTCAGACCTCGGGGAACACATCATCTCCTCCTGAGTACTGGCCTACGTTGACGGCAGCCTCCCTCTCTCTCTTTCTGCCAGTGAGAGAGAAAGAGAGTTGATTGCCTGCCAGTGTGGCTCAGTGGTTGAGCATCAACCTATGAACCAGGAGGTCACCGTTGGATTCCTGGTCAGGACACATGCTGGGGTTGCAGGCACCATCCTCGGTAGGGGGCGTGCAGGAGGCAGTAGATCAACGACTATCTCTCATCATTGATGTTTCTCTCTCTCCCCCTCTCCCTTCCTCTCTCTGAAATCAATACAGACTTTTTTTTTTAAGTTTCAAGTAAAGATGTGGTGAAGAAGGAAACTATTCAGGGCACACAGCTCAATTAGGAAGCAGCCAGGCTGTGGGAAGGCCCTGGGGCAAGGAGGCCTCGGGGCAAGAAAGCCCTAGAGCAAGGCCCCTCTCTAGCTAGACAGCCCTGCCCAGTCCCGGTCCGCTTCACTGGGTCCTGGCAGCTGTCTTCCGTGCTTCAGCTCCAGATGGGGAAATGCAGTCTTTAGTGAGAAGGGAAAGTGCACTCCTGGAACTGGAGGAGACCTGCCTTTATATAGACAGAAATCCCTGCCCCTGGACCCTGATTGGTCCATCCTTATGGAAATGAGGACTCCAAATCCTCCCAGTTTGTTTGAAAAAGCACTGTCCTGATTGGACAGAATGGAGATGCTCTGAATGGAGGATATGCTTTTTCATTGATTCTAGAGAGAGAGAAGGGGGGGGAGAGAGAGAGAAAGAGAGAGAGAGAGACATCGATTGGCTGCCTCATGCACACACCTCAACCAGGGATCAAACCCCATGACCCTTCAGTGCACAGGACCATGCTCCAAACACCAAGCCACAGGGACCAGGGCTAGGCTCTGTTCTGAAAATTTGAGCCCATTTGGCCACCAGGTGCCCTTCTTAGTAGGCATCTTTATTGTCAGGGCCCACAGGCAGTAAAGGCAGGGGGTACTTATGAGAAAAGGAAGGGAAACAATTACATGAAGAGAAGAAGGAGTTTCTATAGGTGATGCTAATTCTGAATAATGTGTTTAATTTTTATCCTGGTTTTATTGTCATCTTTGCAAGCAATTGTTTGGATACAATGTTGCTTTAGGCCCCAGTCCAAAGGTTATTTTAACAAATTCCAAAGGTTTGAGGAGTAAGCTCTGCAAGGCAGTTTCCCTGGGATGGCACCTCAAACTCCTTCAAGTGCCTCTGTTTATATTATTTAATACTTTTAAGACAATAAACAACTTATTGCCTACCATTTGCTTCATTCAACGCAAAGATTCCTATTGATTGATAGCTATTAACGGTTTTATTGATGGGTGATTTTTCTTTCTTCCCTTTTCAATAGCTCTTCCTAAGGGGGGCGAGGGGGGCAGACCAAAA